GACACTGTCAGAGGATTCTAAATGATTGGGATAAAAAGAAATACTTAACGTGATGTTCTTTTTCTTTTCCTTTTTTGATATGTAATAAAACGACTACAAAGTACTAATAAAAATGACACAGCGGAGAATTACGCTTCAATCAGACCTTTTATCTGAACGACTTACGGCCACGCAAAAAAAGAGAGAAAAAAACTGGAAGCACTATTACTCCAAATGTACATCAAGGGGAAACAAAAGAACAAAGAAAAACAAAGAGAATTACCTCGCTACTAAATTAAACAAGACACCCTAAAAAAAACTAAAGAAACCCCACTGCAATGCAACCTAACCAACCTAAAAGAGCTTGCAGTGCAATTGCATCCCTGGAGAACCCGAGGTGCAATCACATTCAAAACGCCTCGTTAAACATTCTTTCCTCTGCGTCTCTCTCTCTCTTTCTCTCTCTATTCCTCCCCCCTTTTAACCGTTTTTTCCTTTCTTTACTTAATACCCGGAGGTCCATTAAACACTCCTCTACTCTCCTCCCCCACATGTTCATCCCCTCCTCCCCTTCGTCTCCCCCTTCACTCACTCCTCTCTATCCCTCTTCTCCCTTCCCTCGTCCCTTCCGTCCTTGCTCCCTATCCCTTTATTTCCTCACTCCTCTCTATCTCTCTTCTCCCTCCCCTGCCTCTCCCTATATCACCCTCCCTTCTCCCTCCCCCCACACCCCTTCTCCCCTCCCCTCCCCTATCCCCTATCGCCCTCTAACCCCTCTCCCTCTCCCCACCACCCCTTCCCCCCTCCCTATCCCCTATCACCCTCTAAACCTTCCCTCCCCCCACCACCCCCTTCTCCCCTCCCTCCCCTTTCCCTATCCCTATCGCCCTCTAACCCCTCTCCTCTCCCCACCACCCCTTCTCCCCTCCCCTCCCTATCCCCCTCTCCTCTCCCTCCCTATCTTCTCCCCCTCCCCTCATCCTTTCTCACCCCCTCCTTCCTCTCCCCTCCTACCCCCCTATCGCCCCTCTACCCCTCTCCCCCTCCTCCCACCACCCCTCTCCCCCTCCCCTATCCCTATCACCCTCTAACCCTCTCCCCTCCCCCCCACACCCCTTCTCCCCTCCCCTCCCTTCCCTATCCCCTATCACCCTCTAAACCTTCTCCCTCCCCCCACCACCCCTTCTCCCCCTCCCTCCCCTTCCCCTAACCCCTCTCCCTCTCCCACCACCCCTTCTCCCCTCCCCTATCCCCTATCACCCTCTAACCTTCCTCCTCCCCCCCCCACCCCTTCTATCCCCTATCACCCTCTAAACCTTCTCCCTCCCCCCACCACCCCTTCTCCCCCTCCCCTCCCCTTCCCCTATCCCCTATCGCCCTCTAACCCTTCTCCCCCCCCCATCACCCCCTCCCCTCCCCTTCCCCTATCCCCGATCGCCTCTAACCCCTCTCGCTCTCCCACCACCCCTTCTCCCCTCCCCTATTCCCCCCTCCCCCGCCCTCGATCCCCAATCTCGAAACCTGTGCTAATCCCGCACTCCGGCCTCCGCTCGTTTGCATATATAATTTCCTGCCATCATGCCGGGGGATTTAAACTAAATAGCTTCTCTGAGGAGGGATGCTTTATACGAGCTTCCCTCTGTCTTCCTCTTTCATCCATTTATTTCATTATCTTATCCAAAGCCTCTTTTACTTTTTTGGTTTAATGCTTCTCTTTGCTTTTCTTTCCCATTTGCATAATCTAACCCCTCCTTCTCCCCCCCTACCTCCCTCAACCCCCTCCCCCTCCCCGTCTAGACAGCATCGCAAAAGAGACTTTTTCATTTTTCCATTTTCTTTTTTTTTTTTTTCATCGTTTTTTTTTTCATTTCTACCTTCCTTTTTCTTTCCTCTTCCTTCGTGTATTTCCTCTCCTGCTCTTCACACTTCTCACTTTCTCGCTTCCAATCTCTCAGCGGATGTAGCAACACTTACAACCCTATTGGCGACGGCAATATCAAGTCATCAGCAACACAATCAGGTTATAAGTTAAGAGAAACATCAAGTCATCAGCAACACGGGTTATAAAGTTAACAGAAATATAACTTTCTTCTCCGTAATCTCGACACACACATACGTCGGATGAGATGCTACTTTCGCGTCCGTCATCTGATGCTCTCAAAGAAGGGAATAAAAAATACGGAAGAATAGGAAGAGGAATGAGGATGATAGAAAAAAAGGATGAGAGAAGAAAAAAATGAGAGGGAGATGGAAGGAGGAGGAAGAAGAGAAAAAAGACAGAAGATAACTTTGCAGGATTGTCAGAGAGCCATTTTGCTCGAATTTCAGAGCCTGACCGAATAACATTTTTTTCAAAAGTCGCTCTTTTTCTTTCATCCCCCATATCATACTGAAGAAAACAAGAAAAAAATCCAACCCGAAATATTTTTCCTTCTTTTCCACACAGTACATAAAAATAATAATAAATAAATAAATAACTATATGAATCACAACACGTTATCCATTACAACAAAAATCTCACAGGAAGCAGAACACGAGCGAAAACGCGAGAAAAAGGCGAACACGACGCGAGGGAAACGGCGTGGCTTCGGTGCCCGGGCGAGAGAGGCGAACGGACGTCCCTCTCCGACGGTGGCAGACGCGCTACTGACTCGCCCGTACGCTGTCGGGGAGGTCAAGACGCCACCGCTCTTGGGAAGGACTCTCGGATGGAGGAGGGGAGGAGGAGGAGGAGGAGGAGGAGGAGAGGAGGAGGAGAGGAGAGGAGGAGGAGGAGGAGGAGGAGGAGGAGGAGGAGGAGGAGAGAGAAGAAGAGAAGAAGAAAGGAAAGAGGAGAGGGGGGAAGGAGGAGAGGAGGAGGGGGGGAAGGAGGAGGAGGAGGAGGAGGGGAGGGGAGGAGGAGAGGAAGGGGGGAAGGGGAAGAGGAGGAGGAGGGGGAAAGGAGGAAGGAGAGAGAAGAAGAAGAAGAAAGAAAAGATGATGATGAAAAAAAAGAAAAGAAAAAGAGGGAAAGGAAGAAGCAAAGGTAGAGAATGCGTGACAAAAACAAAATAAGAAAACAACGAATGACCAAGAAAGCGGGGAACTGACAAGACCAAGAACCAATCCGTCGAGGGGAGAGCAAGGGGGTGGGGGGGGGCTCGGCCGAACGAGGGAGAGAGGAAGAGACGTGAAAAGGATAAAATCCTGCCTCGGCGGAGACGTGACTCGGCTCGCGGAAAGGCGGTCGGTAATGATCAATTTGTGCGCTTCCTGCTTGCATTCCCTCACTCTCGCTCTCTCGCTCTCTCGCTCTCTCGCTCTCTCGCTCTCTCACTCTTCTCTTCGATCCTCTCGCTCTCTCACTCTTCGATCTTTCTCTCGCTCTCTCACTTCTCGCTCTCTCTCGCTCTTCGATCTTTCTCGCTCTCGCTCTCTCGCGCTATCTTTCGATCTTTCTCTCGCTCTTCTCGCTCTCTCGCTCTCGATCTTTCTCTCGCTACTCTCGATCTCTTCTTCTCGCTCTCTCGCTCTTCGATCTTTCTCTCGCTCTCTCGCTCTCGCGCGCTCTCGCTCTTCGATCTTTCTCTCGCTCTCGCTCTCTCTCTTCGATCTTTCTCTCGCTCTCTCGCTCTCTCTCTTCGATCTTTTCTCGCTCTCTCTTCTCGCTCTCTCGCTCTTCGATCTTCTCTCGCTCTCTCGCTCTCTCGCTCTTCTCTTTCTCTCGCTCTCTCGATCGCTTTCGATCTTTCTCTCGCTCTCTCACTCTTTCGCTCTCTCACTCTCGTCTCTCGCTCTTCTCGCTTTCTCTTCTCGCTCTCTCACTCTTCGATCTTTCTCTCGCTCTCTCACTCTTCGATCTTTCTCTCGCTCTCTCATCTCTTCTCTGCTCTTCGATCTTTCTCTCGCTCTCTCGCTCTCGCGCGCTCTCGCTCTTCGATCTTCTCTTCGCTCTTCTCTCGCTCTCGCTCTCTCGCTCTTCGATCTTTCTTCGCTCTTCGCTCTTCGCTCTCGCTCTCTCGCTCTCGATCTTTCTCTTCGCTCTCTCACTCTTCGATCTTTCTCTCGCTCTCTCACTCTTCGATCTTTCTCTCGCTCTCTCACTCTCTCGCTCTCTCGCTCTTCGATCTTTCTCTCGCTCTCTCGCTCTCGCGCGCTCGCTCTTCGATCTTTCTCTCGCTCTCTCGCTCTCGCGCGCTCTCGCTCTCTCGCTCTTCGATCTTTCTCTCGCTCTCTCACTCTCTCGCTCTCTCGCTCTTCGATCTTTCTCTCGCTCTCTCGCCTCTCTCTCGCTCTTCGATCTCTCGATCTTTCTCTCGCTCTCCTCTCGCTCTCGATCTTTCTCGCTCTTCTCTCTCTCGCTCTCGCTTCTCGCTCTCGCTCTCTCGCTCTCTCGCTCTTCGATCTTTCTCTCGCTCTCTCGCTCTTTTGTCTTTCTCTCGCTATTTCGCTCATTTGTCTTTTTTCGCTCTCTCGCTTTTTTATCCTTCTCTCGCTATTTCGCTCTTTTGTCTTTCTTTCGCTCTTCTATCTTTCTCTAGCTCTCTCCCTCTTCTATCTTTCTCTAGCTCTTTCGCTATTTCATCTTTTTCTCGCTCTTTCGTTATTTTATCTTTCTCTCGCTCTTTCGCTCTTCTATCTTTCTCTCGCTCTTTCGCTATTTTATCTTTCTCTCGCTCTTTCGCTCTTCTATCTTTCACTCGCTCTTTCGCTCTTTTATCTTTCTCTCGCTCTTTTATCTTTCTCTCGCTCTTCTATCTTTCTCTCGTCCTTTCGCTATCTTATCTTTCTGTCTTCTATCTTTCTCTCGCTCTTTCGCTCTTTTGTCTTTCGCTAGCTCTCGCTCTTTCTCCTTCGCCCACTCTATCGCTCTTTTATCTTTCTCTCGCTCTTTCCCTCTTATTTATCTTTCGCTTGCCCTCTCGCTCTTTTATCCTTAGCTTGCTCTAGCTATTTCTTTTTCGTGCGCTCTCTCTCTCTCTCTCTCTCTCTCTCTCTCTCTCTTTCTCTTTCGTTCGCTCTCCCGCTCTTTTATCTTTAGCTCGTTCTCTCGATCTTTTTCTTTCTTTTTCTTTTTTTTTCTCAAAATTTCTCCCCATTTCTCTCGCTCTTTATCTTTCCTTCACTATCTTTCACTTTCTCACGCTGTATCATTCTTCCACTCCCTTGCTTTCAATCTTATTCTTTTACCGCTCTGTATCTTTCTCACGAAGGAAGAGGAGGAGGAGGAAGAGGAGGATAAAGAAGAGGCAGATGAAGAGAAAGTGGAGGAGGGGAGATAGGAAAAAAGGAGGAGAGGAAGACGAAAGACGCGAAAGAGTACGGCGATGAAGAGAAAGAGAATGGAAAGAAGGGAGAGCTAACAAGACAAAAATAATAATAACGAGTACGGAGAAACAGCAGCACCAACATTCCAGCCACACGGAGAAAGAGAAGGATGAGAAAAAGGAGAAGAAGGAGACGGAAGACGCGAAAAAATACAGCGATGAAGAGAAAGAGAATGGAAAGGAGGGAGAGCTAACAAGACAAAAAAAAATAATAACGAATACGGAGAAACAGCAGCACCAACATTCAAGCCACACGGAGAAAGAGAAGGATGAGAAAAAGGAGAAGAAGGAGACGGGAAGACGCGAAAAAATACAGCGATGAAGAGAAAGAGAATGAAAGGGAGAGAGAGAGCTAACAAGACAAAACAAATAATAATAACGAGTACGGGGAAACAGCAGCATCGAAATTTCAGCCACACGGTCGCCAGCAGATGGTAAACACTTCTGAGACACCTGATGATCAACCAGTGTCAACAAGACCTCTTCCCGTTTTTTTGGCATCATACTGTTGCAATGCCGTTCTCACCAAGACTTTATTAATATGTGAGGATGTGATGTCGAGAGGAGGGGAAATATGTGAG